TGTCACTCTAAAACTGACACCCTATCTCTGACCAAAACAGCTGAAAAACCATTCTCTTCAAGGTCGCACATACACATGAACCTACATGTATAAAGCCCATATGAGGGAGAACCCCACACACACACAGGTTTTCACTCCAAATATATATATCCATACACAAGGTTATCTAAGTGGACCAAGTATTGATGGAGATGTCAATCGAGTGTTGAGAAGTACACAATCCTAAATCTCTATGCAGCGGGCAATTGCTTATGGTACCTATGGGCATGGCATTATGGGAAAATCTGAATGCAACTATTTGCCAAGCACAGTGAATATATATCTTGGCCAATTTAATGTTATTAATTTATTGTTCGGTCCAAGCTCATTCATAACAAAAGGCTTTGAAAAACATTTCAGAATAAAGAGTAGTGAGATAAAAACATGACATTTCGGCAACATGTCACCATTATCAAATGCAAATTATTATGTGTTGGGTAACGTTATATACCTTAAAGAAATGCTGTGGAAAGTTTGAGTGCCTTATTTATGAGATGCTTTTTATAAGGAAAAAGAGTCCCACTCTGAACACTCAAAAGGACTCCATTCCCGCGAAACTTTTTATTTAAATTCTTCTCATTCTTTTGTTTATCCCCGCCTCATTTATTCTAATGTATTTTCCCACTCTATATTCTTTATATAACGTTACCCATGCCAATGAACACATAATAATTTGCATTTGATAATGGTGACATGTTGTCACCTAAATGTCATGTTTTTATCTCGCTACTCTTTATTCTGAAGCTCATTCAGTTGTTGAAAGACATCTGTGTTAACTTACCAAGTACATGTATTTGGCTTTCTTTTACTTCAGGAAGATTATCATTTTCAAAATAATTTTTTAGCTCATCAAGGTGAATTAGATCTTCATCTGTGAATTCCAGTGTTTGTAGGCTTTCTTTAAGATCAGTAATAGCTAATGGTACCTTGTCAGAGAAGAGATAAGCAAATGTTATTTTCCTGTTAGTTTAGGGATTAAAAAAGTGTTTTTGGTAACTCTTAGGGTGTTCAGCCTCAAAAGGTCCACAGCAGAAGCTTTTGCGGAAGCTTTTGCAGTACCTTTTAGGGTATTGACCCGAAAAAATATGACAGGAGATAATGTGAGATGCAAGAATTGGTACCTCCTAGGGGAGACAAAAGTTTCAAGCCAGGCCCACAAAACAGGATCTTGGTACCGCTTAGGGGTTATTTTAGACATTCCGACAGGCACCCCTGTCTTTTTTGTATGGGAGCTCCCCCTGAGAAATGAGCAAACCTGGTATAGAGGTTAAGTGACATTCAAGGGATTGACATTGGAGCAACTAGACAAGTGAGAATTTTACACAATATGCATTGTGATCTAAATACCTCAATGAACACTTATTATATACAGCCAAACATTTTATAACCTGCACTATTGTATGACACAAATAAATTTATAATTAAATAATTAATCCTGACCATGGAGGCAAAGTAATCTACACATATGCCCCTTCTTCAGATCTACTGGTAATAATTAACGCATGCACAAATGAACTGACTTACAGCAATTTCCCTGTATACATTAGGTTTCCTCAGTACTGCACTTTGACTAATATTGAGACAAAAAAGAATAACTTGGTTGAGGAATGTATCGAAAAAATCATCTGATATATACAAATGTTGCTTAGCAAACACTCAATTTTTCACCCCACAGTTTTGACAGTATGTTTTGAGCAAACATGTTAGTAGTGCAAATTCCGTCCCTGATTTTTGACAATGTGAATCACTCTATGGTAAAAGAAAATATTAACTTTAAAATCATGTAATACCTAGCAATTAATCAGTAACAGCTTAAGAGCTTGCAAAAACCTGCAGTTGGCAATTTTCATTGACCAATTACAGTGGATTAATTTTGCAGTGACTATAATTTTGGAACTAAGCTACTAAGTACTACACTATGTTGTATCAGTACTCACCAGCCATTAGGCTGATCTCTCAGTACAGTCTGTGCAGAAGGGGAACCTCTTGGTTCAAATATTGTTTCTGGGCCTCTCGACGATGTTGCTGAACCTGATACTGATATCCCTCCAGATGGTCTCACTGATATGGAGTCGATAATGGGTCTTATCATCTGACCAAAGGAACTGAAAAA